GTTTAGGCCCCATCCCACAGGGATCCCTGCAGGATCGAGCCTAACATCCCTCTCAGAATCTGGGACCACTGGCTCCCAACCCCTCTGACTGCCTGCCTGATTGCTCCTAACTGCCTCTGCCTCAGCCCCTGCCGCTGTGGCTTCGTTCAGAAGGTCCTTTGGCTGTCTGGTCTAATTAACATATTATGCTTTTATTATTATATATTGATTTCTATTCTGATTATTTCATTTTTCTGCTTACTTTGGGTTTAAATTTCACTTTCTTTTCTAGTGTCTAAAGGTAGAAAATTACTTAGAATACTGATTTTAGACCCTCCTTCTTATATATGCATTCTGTGCTATAAACTTCCCTCTAAGCATCCCACTGCTTTCACTTGCATCCCACAAATTTTAAGTTGTGGGTTCATTTTCATTTAAAATGAAATATTAAAAATATTTTAAAATTTTTTCGTGAGATTTCTTCTTTGATCCACATGTAATTTAGAAGTGTGTTGTTTAATCTCCACATATTTTAAGATTTCCCGATTATCTTTGCTTCTGATTTCTAGTTTAATCCTACTGTGGCCTTAGAGCAGACATTGATTTGGTATATCTTGATGTATGATCCATGTGAGCTTGAGCAGTATGTGTAGCCTGCTGTACATGTGTTATTTTTATATTAGTCATATGTAACCCAAAATATTTAAGAATTGAAGAAAATGTGAAAATTTATTTACTTTAAAAATCTTTTTAATTTCTGCATTTGTTAAGTATTATCTAAATCTAGGGAGTAAATTTTTTATTTTTATTCTAATTTATTTAAGATAAAACAAGCTTTAATAGACTTTAAAACAGTAATTTAAAATATCCCTTTCTGAATATGACAGTAATAGCAAACCAAGAGATGTTGATGGAAGTACTATAATTTCAAAGAGATACAGAACAACAGAGTCTATACTCGTTTTGTTGGCAAGCATTGTCCTTCCTATACTGAATTCAGTGATTAGCTGTAATGGATGTGGAAGTGCTAAAACCACAGTGAATTATTTGCAGTGATGTACTGTCTACTAAAACAATAAAACCATCAAAATTTAAGTGGCACTTATAATAGGCATGACATAAATATATTCACAACCACAAATGCATTATTTGAACAAATATTATAGTTAAGAAGCTGACAGCCAGTCTTCAGGATTTCATATGTAATCATTAGTGCTTTGTGAATTTCTTTTAAAGTCTCATTTCAGGTTATACACAAATGATAAGACAAAGATACTTTATTAGAGATATGGAGTGAATCTGTAGCAAAGAAGGTAGTTTGTATAATACTTTCCAGCAACACCATAGCTCGATAAATTTAGGACCATTTAAGTGATACAGAAAACAAATTCTTCAACAAATAAGATATTTTTTAATAGATTTTATTGATTTTTTACAGAGGAAGAGAGAGGGATAGAGAGTTAGAAACATCGATGAGAGAATCATTGATCAGCTGCCTCCTGCACACCCCCCACTGGGGATATGCCCGCAACCAGCCAAGGTACATGACTGGAATTGAACCTGGGACCCCCCCAGTCCACAAACTGATGCTCTACCCACTGAACCAAACCGATTTCAGCAATAGCAAAGAAATTTTTGTTATTTCATGAACACATTGACTTTTGTTAACATGACAGTGATATGAAGAATTTATTTTTTAACTTCCTTGATGACAAACACAACATGCTCTGAAGTATGTAAAACTTTGAAGGGTTAACAAATCAACTGGTTTGAAGTTTGGCTTTCTTTTGTAGAAGTATGTTCTGATTATATAGAGAAAGTGACAGGGAAAACATGCTGGAACTTGTGCCAGGATGTAAATTAATGTCCTGTGTGTTTCTTTGAGAAAGTCTTGCTATCTCAGCTGAACTAAACAGTATTCTTGTTATATCAGCTAAGTTAACAGTGGTTCACTAAAAGTGTGATGTAAATTAATGTCCTGCGTGTTTCTTTGAGGAAAGTCTTGCTATCTCAGCCGAACTAAACAGTATTCTTGTTATATCAGCTAAGTTAACAGTGGTTCACTAAAAGTGTGAATTACTTAAACACTAATGCGTTAAATTTGAGATTAAAAAATAGTGATAATTTGGAAGCTCCACCAATCAACTGTTAATCATATGCTGAAGAAAAAAATAATGTTCAAAGGAAAATTTTCAGACAAAAGTATTTGAACTTTGGGATGAACTCATTGTTTTTGCAAACTAAGAAATCAGTTTGGTCCCCAGCTTTTAAAATACGTGAATTAGACTTGTTTCTCTAATAGTTCTTATTAAGTAATTTAGTCTTCCATGTAAGGGAGACATAAAATGTTTTCAGTGTTATATAAGACCAGAGAACAAAAATGAATGGAGCCGAAACTGGTTTGGCTCAGTGGAGAGAGCGTCGGCCTGCGGACTCAATGGTCCCAGGTTTGATTCCAGTCAAGGGCATGTGCCTTGGTTGCAGGCACATCCCCGGTGGGGGGGTGGTGCAAGAGGCAGTTGACTGATGATTCTCTCTCATCGATGTTTCTAACTCTCTATCCCTTTCTCTTCCTCTCTGTAAAAAATCAATAATTAATATATATATATGTATGTGTGTGTGTGTATATATATATATATATATACACACACACACATACATAAAAAGAATTGCATATTTCCCCCTGGAAGTATGCATATAGGCAATCATAGGCTATCACACTACTAAGTCACCTGAAGGCTTGAGGGAAATGTTGAGGGAAAATTCTACCAATTATGAGTTCCACAATATTTTAACAGTTATCAGTAAAGTTAGTGATTTTATTATTGCACATTTGCATAAAAGAAAAGCTATCCATAAAAAATTAATATATCAGGAATCCACTTTTTATCAAAAACTATTTTATATTTAACTATAAATGATTGGCATATGATTGAAGCTGATTACTAATGAAGGACTGAAGACATTTTGAAAAGTCATTTTCTGCATTTGTGATAAAAGTTAAAAATGAACATCCTAAGCTGGCTGAAATTGTTTTAATGTCTCTTATTCCTATCAGCATACATCTGTGAAACTAGTTTTTCTATTATGGGTGCTATTTAAACAAAACATGCATGTAATTTAGATATACCTTAACCCTGTGAGCAGCATAATCATCAGTCCAACCTAGTATAGGTAAGTTAACAACTATGGTCATCCGCTCCCGGGAGAGCCCCGGACGTCTGGGTCTGGCTCGTGGTGTTCACACCTTGTGTAACCCCCTTCCAAACTGCAACATAGTTGATGTGCCAGTATGTCATTTCTGAGATTTGGGCAGAACCAGTATGCAGTGTCTGTCTTGGTTACTCTGTCACTTTCTCTTTGGGAGACAGTTGCTATATGGTGAACAGCCCAATGGAGAGGCTCACAGAGTGAGGGACTGAGGCTTCTGGCTAGCAGCCAGTGAGACACCGAGGCCTTTTGCAGTCAGATATGTGGATGAGCTTAGAGGCAAATTCTCCAATCCAGTCAAGCCTTCAGGTGACTTAGTAGTGTGATAGCCTATGATTGCCTGTATGCATACTTCCAGGGGAAAATATGCAATTCTTTTCTGTTTTCTATTTATTCTAATTATATTATTAAAATATAATTTTTGTGGGTCAGAATAAAATAAAACATTTGGATTTGTATGGCCTCTTTTGTTTTTTCAATAGTTCATTTTTATTTGATCATTTATAAAAGTACTAGAGGCCCGGTGCACAAAATTCATGTATGGGGAAGGGGGGGTTCCCCTCAGTCCAGCCTGCACCCTCTTCAATCCGGGACATCTCTCACATAATCCTGGACCACTGTCTCCTAACTGCTCACCTGCCTGCTAGCCTGATTGCCCTTCACTGCCCCCTCCTGCTGGCCTAATCACTGCTTTTTTTTTTTTTTTTAATATATATTTTATTGATTTTTCACAGAGAGGAAGAGAGAGGGATAGAGACTTAGAAACATCGATGAAAGAGAGTCATCAATCAGTTGCCTCCTGCACACCCCCTACTGGGGATGTGCCCGCAACCAAGGTACTTGCCCCTGACCGGAATCGAACCTGGGACCCTTCAGTCTGCAGGCCTACGCTCTATCCACTGAGCCAAACCGGTTTCGGCGGGCCTAATCACCTCTAACTGCCTCTGCCTGCCAGCCTAACTGCCCCCCTGCTGGCCTGATTGCTCCAATTGCCCCCTCCCATTTGCCTGATTGCCTTTAACTGCCCCCCTTCTGGCCTGATCGCCCCAACTTCCCCACACACACAGGCCTGGTCGTCCCCAACAACTTCCCCTGCCCGTCTGGTCACCCCCAACTGCCCCTGCTGGCTTGGTCACCCCTAATTGCCCTCCTCCTGGCCTGTCTCCCCCATTGGCCTGGTCGTCCCTCACTCCCCCTCCTCCCCCCGCCGGTCTGGTTACCCGATGCAGCCTGCTGTTCAGTCATTTGGTCATCCCTCACTAACGCCCTGATAGCCTGGTCGCCCCACTCAGCCTGTGATCCGTCGTCTGCCCAGTTGTTTCAGTTGTGATGGCCCCAGGCTTTTTATATATTAGGATTGGTCCATGATGGATTGGAATTTTTTTTAAAAAAAGAAAGTGGTTCTCTATCACAGATAGTCTGCATTAATTCTCTTTCATAGTACCCTAAATTAACTTATTGTGATGATGGTTTTGCTTTGTTCTAGTTAGCTATAATCTCTGTTAAGTTGAAGGGCAGGGTGTATGTCTATGTTTTCTGTTACAGTATCCAGAACAGTGTCCCGTCTTTACCAGCTATCCAGTAGATACTGGTCAAAAGAATTAATTAGTGTTTTTCATTATGTTGGAATAATGATTAACTTCTATAGTTATGAATTAAGTTGATTACTATAGCCAGGTGTCCTCAGGGAATAGTAATTGTTTATGGTGAACAGAAAATATTTTCAGCATTCTTCTTGCTGGCTATATTAGATGTTTTTTGAATGAATATATATAATTATTTTTTTATTTATTTATTTTTTATTTTCATAGCACAACCACTGCCTCTGAAGAAGATATCTCAAGTAGATATCCCCGAACAGATAGAAGTGGGTTCGGCAGACATAATAGGGATGCAAATGCTTCAGGTAATTTGGTCTCAAGTAACACATTGGAAAAGAAAATTGAAGATCTTGAAAAGGTATGAATTACAAATTATTTAAGGTTGATAGAATTAATATACCGTGTTTTTCGGACCATAAGACGCACTTTTTTCCCCCCAGAAGTGGGGGGGAAAAGTCCCTGCGTCTTATGGTCCAAATATAGCCTACACATATACTTTTAAAAAAAAGTTTTTTTACTTGCCCGGCTCTGTGTGGTCTCTGTGTGCTTGCCCGGCTCTAAAATGGTTCTAAATGCTGCTGTTTACTTTACAGGGTTGATTACATGTGTTTATGACTGTGATGTTGGGTTTTAATGCACATAAAATATTTTAGGACACTATTTGTTTCAGAATCTTTTTTTCTTCATTTCCCTTCTCTAAAAACTGGTGCGTCTTATGGTCCGAAAAATACGGTACTATTTGGATTTTTTTTTTTTTACTTGCATAGCAGCTGAGAGAGAAAATAAATTGAACTTTGTAAATTGAAAAATAAAATAAGTTTTAAAAAACTGAAATTTAGCACTGAGTAACAGTGCTAAAAAAAAAAAAAAAGGGAAAAGAATAAGGGCACCGATAGAAGATATCATTAGTGTTCATTGGTAGTTTCCATTTATAGTCAACTTGCAGCTTTGAATCACTCTCTTACGTATATTGTGACTTGGTTTACTTTCTGATTTCCTTAATATTTTCCTGTGTCTGGTTCTGTTGATGTTATAACTTTTAGAAGCAGAGCCAATTCTTGTATTCCTTGATATTTAATGACTACTCCCATCCTGCCAAGTGCTATCTTTAAAATATTGAAAATAGCCCTTGCCTTTGAAATGGTTACAAGTTTTCCTGGCAGAATGGACTACTGTGTGTTTATTTTATTATCTGTACAGATTGTCATTTGGGTTCTGAGTTAGCGCCCAGAGCCATATTTTGTGTTTGAAACCATTTAAAATTTTTTAAATTAAATTTATTGGGATAACATTTGTTAATAAACACAAAGCAATATACAGATGGTGTTTGAAACAATTTTAAGAATAAACCTATTTAGTAGTATCTTTGAGAACAATGCAAATGGATATTGGTATAAATTATCATGTTCTATAGAGTCAACCTCTAAAATTGATAATGGTACTGAATTACTGTCTGATTATCGAAAATGTTTTGTTTTGCTGAATTGAAATTATTACCTGTGATAAAGATTATTTTTAGTAGAGATTTAATTTGTAAAGTTGTTTCTTTAATAACATAATAGTTATTTTTAGTTCACATATGAGCTTTCAAACTAGTTTCTATAAGTCTACAGTTAAAACTTTAAGGAATATATAGTTCAGTAGATTTCAAGGAGATTCTTCAGGAAGGTTTTGAAAGTTCCACAAGGGTTTGGATTGCCTTGTTAGTGGCTGGCAGCAGTTGATTAGAGGCCAGCCGGCTGCTTTCGCTGTGGATTAGTAGGAAAGAAAGTATTGTAGTTCTGGGTGAGACCTTTTCAGTTTTGCTTCCCTTTTGCCCCCAAGGTGGCTGACCTAGCCCAAGTCTCTGGTTTCTCTAAATAACATTTCTTTGGAAAAGGTGTTACATTGTCTATTTCAGTTTCTTCATTTTATCCATTGTCAGTTAACTAGCAGAGTTGGAAGTAAAACTGAGGACCATTTTTTTTTTCTTTCTGTTTAGACTTTTCCATACAGCTTTCTCCTTTTCTTTTTAAAATATTTTTTTCCAGTTACAATTGACATACAGTTGACATATATTAGTTTCAGGTGCATAACAAAGTAAAAATTTTAAACTATTTTTAATAAATTTGAATTTCTTCAAACAGATATTATCCATCAAAATATTTTATTACTAATGGTGGTGATAAGCTAAAGAGGGAACTTTGAGTGTTAGTATTTGTTAAAGATTTGTGTAAACATAGATTTAATCAGAAACATATCTTACAACTCCTAAGTCCCTCTCATTCTCTGGTTCTTTTCTTGGATGGATTTTTCCTTCCCTCTTCAAATGGCAAGAAAATTCAATGGAAATTTTCATATTTGGCAGATGTATGATACTTAAAATTATAAACCACCAATTACTTTCCAATTAATCAACTTTGTAATTATATATACTAGGAAATATCAAGAGAAAGGCAAGAAAACTTAAGACTTGTGAGACTGATGCAAGATAAAGAGGAAATGATCGGAAAACTCAAAGAAGAAATTGACTTGTTAAATAGAGTGAGTATTTACATATTTCAGATTCATCATTTCCCTTTTTTTTGGAAATTAAATGAAAATATATAAATATGAAGAAATTATTTAATTTCATTATTTGGTTGGTTCTTTCGTTAATGCCATTAATTTGTGGTAAGAATGATCATTTCTTTCTGGAAATTGATTTCCTCTGTTTAATTATTAATTGTATTTACTTAATATTCTGTTAGAGATGGACTGATGAATGGATTTGCTTTGTGTTTTGTTCATCTGGAGGTGAGAGGCAGCTTGGTCACTGCCATACATAAAAGCCACAAAGTTTCCTCAATGAAGACTACTTTCTTGCCATAGGAAATTCCAATTTCTTTCTATTTTCTCTACTTCTTTGTCTTCAAGTGTATGTGTGCATTCTCAACTTTATGTTAATAAGCCTCATCTGAAGATCTCTCTTATGAATATTTGTAGCTCTTTTTTTTTTTTCTTTTAGCCCTTGAATTTACTTCCTGCTTAAGAAGCAGGTCTTAATGCTAGATCATACTTAAGTAATGCTGATGAGAAGACATCCCATAGTTTTGGTTTTAGAAGACTTTAGATAGGATAGAGGAAGGAAATGTTTACTTTTCAAGCATGTCAAACTCACGACTGGTAGGCCGCATGCCTCATTTATTTGAAGGAGTTTGACATGCTTGCTAGGGGAAAAAAATAACATTTTTAATCCAGTCTTAACTCTAACTATGAAAGAGAAAATACAGTCTTCATTATGTGCAACATAAAGTTGTAAGGCATTAACTACAGGTTGTAGATGATGATGCTGAAACTCAAGAGTTTAACTTGCTCAAGGTCATATATAGTAATCACATAGTAATCAACTGAGCCAGTATTTGGCCTCAAGTATTTGAGAATCCTACTTCTAAACAAGTTCTTTAACTTTTATAGGCTATCTTTCATCTTGGATCAGAACACAGCATTATCTATTGGTTATGAACTATGATTTAATGAAATCTGCAAATATTTTTGGTGTTTATGATGTATTAGCACTGTTCATTAAAGAGAATAATAAAACACCTGTACTTTCATTGCTTATAATTCTAAATCTTATGTAAGTCTCAGTTGTAGTAATTTTAGGAATAATGTATTTTTATTGTTGTTTTAAACAGATCAGTTTTTCAACATCACTCATGTAGTTTGTGAGTAAATACAGATTCTGTTTTTGTACATTTTAAAAATTTTTATTGATTTTTTTCTTTTAAGAGAGAAAGGTAGGGAGAGAGAGAGAGGTAGAAACATTGATATGAGAGAGAAGCATCAATCAGTTGCCTTCTGCACCCACCTGGACTGGGGATTGAACCTGAAACCTGGATATGTGCCCTGACTAGGAATCAGACCTGCTACCTTTTAGTGAACAGAATGAACAACCAACTGAGCCATACCGGCCAGGGATGTTCTTGTACATTTTAAAATCATGGACTAATTATCCAAAGACAATATACTAAATTTATTAGAATGCTGTTCTCCAATAGCACATGAGATGATTGCTCCAAGTTTTAGTATTTTGAATTGCAAGGTTAAATCTGTAAATGTCTGCTTTCCAACCATCAGTAGTCTGCCTTGAAATAATGTTTCTTCTCACTGAAACTTAGAGCAGATGGTATTTGTATTTACAAAATGGTTGTATATAAGGCTCTAGAATTACAATAGGGAATTTAAAGCTAGAATCACATAACTTTAAAGCCAAAGGATGATTACCTAGTTTAGTGATTTTCAATTTTTTTAAGCTCTAAAACCTTTCATTCAAACAAAATATCATAGAGAAGCCTAATATACACATTGATCCAGATCAACTCTGTCTGTCCCAGATCTCCTTTTCTGTTTGCCTCAGTTCTTATCAGCACCTCAGGTTCTCACCCCATAACATACACACTTACAAAAGGTCATATGAAGTGTTAGGAGTATATCCAGAACTTGTGCCTGGATCTTTTTGATGCCTAATTTGACACAAGGTTGCAATCTTAGCCTCAGAACCTCATATTGCCCCAATATGTTTTTTTGTCTGTTTTTTTGTGGGATGGGGATTTTTTAAAAATAAAAAATTAAGGTTTTTTTTTGTAATGGTTAAAAATTGGAAGATTTACAATTAAAGAATTCTGGTTTCTGGCTTCTCTTGAAAAACTGAAGGATCTGGCAAGAGTTGGCTCATATTATCAATGAGAAGGAGTCGAGTAGTATATGCTTCCTTTAGGTGGGACTATTCTATCTAAAGTTGTTTTCAGAACTTGCCCTCATTTCCAGATTAATTGCTTGTATGAATTACCTCTGAGTGTGTATTTTTGAAGTGTTTTTATTTAGAATATTTTAAAAAACTCACATACTATTTTCCTTTTGGTTTCCTTAAGGACCTAGATGATATAGAAGATGAAAATGAACAACTAAAGCAGGAGAATAAAACTCTGTTAAAAGTCGTTGGGCAACTGACAAGGTAGAAGATTCAGGCTCAGTGTGGAAAAAATATTTTAAAACTACTGATTGAATGTTACGGTTAATATGAGGACAATATTCCTGTGCTGCAGTACATTAAGTATGTATATTTATTTCTGGAAAACAATGGATGTTTATTTTGAAAACATTTCTTTTTCATTGTTAGTTTCAAAAATGTCTACTTTTTATTTCACGAATAAGTAACATCTTTCGGTCATTAAAATTACAGGTTATGCCTCTTTGGTTTTGTATGGTATTCAGATAATATATAGTTTAAAGTCACAACCATTTGAATATATTTTATCTATGGTAGTGCATTTTCTCCCTAAAAGAATACACATAGCCTTTGTTTACATGAATTCAAATTCTTCTGGGGAGTTACCTGCAAATACCTTATTACTGGGGTGTGCAACCTTTTGTGTGTAGGTGATTTACTCATAAAGGTCTTTGTCTGCTGTCTTTGTTCTTTCAACTTAATCTAAGCAATTTATAGTATATAGAGTTGCACTATTTTGTATAACAGTCATCTTTAAAAAGGAAAGCTATATTAAAAAGTCACTATCACATACTAATTAGTAGGTTAAATACAAAATTTAAGAGAATACTTGAATTGTGCTATAGTAAATTAAAATGTACTATTTTATATTTGAATATAGAAAAAAATTTAAATCACGTAAACTTCTGAAGGACATAACATTTGTAATTTCAATATAAAATTTCTTATGTAGGTACTACCTTTTAGTTTATAAGTGAACATGGGGTATTTAAAAAGTTGTTTATTCATCAAGCCTTGATAGAGTGTACGATTTTAGTGTATAAGAAAAAATTTCATATCTTTAATTATCATATACATGAAAATAAAAACCAAGATATTTATCCACACTAAAAACATTTATAGTACATTACAAAAGAGTACATAAACAAAACTAGCATGGAAATACTTTTGCTTTATTTCTAACTTGGAGAATAACATTGACACAGTTGTTACTATATGAGAGAATTATTGCCTTACTTCAAATTTAAAGGATTTTCTTTTATTAGATTTTTTAAAAAATAATTATTTTAAAGAATTATACAATTTTTCTATTAATTATCATTAGTATTTAGAGTTGTTTTATATTACATTTTCATGTTGAGTAAGGAAATCCTCTCCTTTAAAATAACATTAATATTAAGAAGTGATAGTAGAGTCTCAAACATGAGTATATGGATGCCCATTTATCTAATTAATACACATAAGTGGCTTGAACATAATTAAATGTGTTTTAGATACCCCACTGATTCATTTTCCTTCACTTGCTTAGCCCCTTCATTATTCACTATTAGAAAAATAGGAAGGGTGACACATTTGGGAAAATTATAGAGTAAATGATAAAAATCAGATGTGGAATTCTAAAACTCTTTGCAGTGGCCTAGATTGCCCCCTTAGCCCTTACCCCTTCCCACTTCAGAAGTTTCTACCGTGGCTGATCATCAGAATCACTTGGGTTGCTTAAAAAAGAATTATCTGGCTACAGTTTCTAGATAGGTTTAAATTGAGACCCTTTTAAAGGTCTGATGATAACCATCTGATGATTCTGATTATAACATAAGTTTGGAAACAGCTGTTGTTGCCTCTTTCCTTCTGTACCTTCCACTGGAGACTCTGGAGTTAATATAATTTTAGCTATCAGCATTGCTTCCCCTTTTAGTTTATTTAATAAACTGGGAAAGTTTTAATATGTCCAAATATATTAACCAACAATTTCAATGTTAAATTACCAAACTTGATACAGTGCAGAATTACTGCCCTAAAGAGCATCCTTTTCAGAGAATACTGCCCAGTGTAGGACAGTGATCCACTATCCACATGTCAGGTGGTCTGCCAGGCTCAGTTACTGCCTTTGGCTTGAGGTACTCATCTCCCTTTACTTATCCTTATGTATGTGGCAGATATATCGGTATTATCTAATTTCCCATCCACATTTTGGACATTGTGAAAATGCTGTCAGTAAATGCAGTCTTAAAACATGTTCAGTGTACTGGTTTTTCAGTAAAAGAAGTATTTGTAATTTATTTAACCCATATGTAAGTAAAGAAATATTCCATTTCCATTTATAAAATTATACCAGTTATTAATACTTGTAAAGACTGAGCAGTTTTAATTTTTTTTCCTTTTCTCAGCTTATTGGGAACATTTCTGACAATGATCTTTTACATAATGGTACCTAGTGCAAATGCATCACCTAAGATCTTAGGCAAGCCTTTCACATGCAATTCTTCATATATATATATTTATTTCACATACAGATTTTTACACTGAATATTAAAAAATAAGTAGGATCTGCTACAATATCCCTTTAAAACTTATAAAAATATTGAAATTTTGAAAAAGTAGCTTAAATACATGTGTTCCACCTTAGAAAACTTGACTATTGTCAATAAAGTGCTAGTATTTGTGAAAGTATTAGTCTCATTCAGAAGAAATAGTTCTTATATTTCCGGGGAATTTGTGGCATAATAAAGCATATCCAAAGTTATAATGTGTTTATGATACTATTTTCCAAACAGTATGATTATTAACGTTAAAATGAATACAACTGGCCTCCCTGATTTTTGACATGTATTAACTTGGGAATTGAGGAAATAATCTGTTTCATTATTAATATTATTGCACTATGGTTACCTGTAGAGGAAAAGGAAGATGTTAGGGTGTCTATTTCTAAGGAAATTTACTAAACATACTAGATTAGCACTGTCACACTTGATCATGTGCTTTAAAACATAGAATCTTAAGTATCAGGGGCAGATCCATGAAGCAATGTATTCTTTTTTTTAAATAATTTTTTAATTGTGGTAGAAGCAATGTATTTTTAAAGTCAAAAACCTACCTCGATTACATGTATTTTATGTTTTCTGGATTAATCTGGATTTTTGTAATTAGAAATTAAGATGCAAGATTTTGCATCCACTAATACTTTATTGAATATAATAGAAAAAAAAAATGTATTAGACATATCAATATGTTCAACACCATAAGGCGAAATAGAAAAGGCCTTGTATTTGATAATTGATCTGATGTCCTAGATAATACTCACATATACAGTGATTGTCATCTGTCATCTTTGTATTTTTATGATCTTGGGTCTGTGCCTAATAAGTTCCATGCAGTGTTGTCACTTATATTCTATTGTTAATCCATTACAGTATTGAGGCATATATTTCCATCTTGTAATATAAAAACCAAATACACCAGGTTTTCATTTGGGTGAGTATGTTAAACGAGAAAGAACTAGCATTCACGAATCTGAAGTTAAAAATAACATGTTAGAGTCAGGGCTAAACATTCTATTACTGTATCTGAACCATTCCTAATATGTAATAGTAAGCTTCTTTTGTATTGGAATTATGCTAGCTAAATAAAGGATATCCCATGGACTAGGATTGTGATTTATATTATTTAGAACTTAGTAATACTTTTTCTTTTGTCATTCCATTAAACTGAAAGCATAATATTAATCAGTGAACACTTTGTTCATCAGATGCCTCAATAAAAGGTATTTCCCCCTGTGCAAGTAAGTTTGTCAGTGATGTATAGAAATTGATTGTTTTATTCTCAGTATAAAGACTTGAACTACTACCCAAGAAAACCGAGGCCCGTAGGTTTTCAATTTTACTTAGCTAAAATCTCATATCATATTCAAGTCGTATCCTCTTCCCCAAAATAATCACATGTCATTATATAAGAAGACTGTGGATGAGAGGGTTACATTAAATTTTCATACCCATTCTTTCAGCAAGTATTTATTAGTCAACTGGATATACAGTTACAGATATTACAGAAGTTATAAAAGAAGGGACATGGGCCAGCCCTTCTGTTTAGCAATGTACAGTCGGTGTGGTGTGAGTCAGGAGCACCAAGTGCAGTTTTAAGTAGCAATTTTCAGTCTAATCTGAATAGTTCATTCAAAAGTATTTTTTGTATTTTTATTCAGTCATTGTCTTTCAGGTCTTGTTAATAGGTACCATTCAGTGTGCTTCAACATTTACTGAATGTTGGGGTGAAAGACCTGTTGGGAAGCATTGCACCATATTTCTTTTAGATAATTATGTATTATGAAAAGAAAATTTTAAAGGAATTTATAGTGATAATGAGGTAAAAAGACTTCATTGTATGCCAGATACCCCAAACTGTTGATGTATTCAAACGTGATTTTAAGTTAGTTTTTCTGAATATATTATTGATTACTGGTTTGTTTTAGGTATTTAAGTCTAACAAACAGTTGGCATATGGCAGGCACTTTGGTAATAATAGAATGTTAGTGATGATCACTTGATGGACATTTATTACATGCCTGTTTTGTTTTTGTTTCCCTCTCTGAATACCTAACGTGTATATATTACTTTTTGGTGAACTTTTCTCTTGAAAGATTTGGCTATGTTATTCAGGGCTTTTTATTATTATGTGTGTGTGTTTTTTTTCTTTTCTAAGATTAAGTATCAGCTGGCTACTGCTACCAGCAAATACCATATGAAAGCTAAAATTTACTGTTGAAAAATCAGCTAATTTAGATAATTCAAATATTTTTAGAAAAACATCTGGATACTTTATTGGCCCACATTTGTATTGTGTAGACACTTTTCACAATTCCCATTGCATAGGTTTTCATTGTGGAGTAGTCACCTTATTCACTTCATTATGCTTTGCATGTAAAATAATAAATACTCAATAAAAAAGTAAATTTTCATTTATTTTTCAACACTGGTTATTTCCCTACTGCACTGTCAGTAAAATCCTGACCATGAATTTTACTTTTGAAACTAAATGCTAATATTCTAATTAACATATGTGCCTCTTACTGAAACAGTATACAGTACATAAGAATTTTTATTTAATATATTATAGACAGTAAAATGTTCTAAACACAAAAATATAGCTTGGATAAGATCTGACTACATTAATGGTGAGGCTCCTTGAATAAGTGAGGACATGTACACATGTTCAAGCTGACAGAACATTTTAATTTTCTTTGTATTTTAAAACTACATGAGTAATTTCTTAATTCAAATAAGAACTGTTATCAACTACATCTGATGGTGTTCAAAGAATCTCAGGTCCTCCATAGTTTGAAAAAGATAAGTAGAGGTCTGAGAATGTAAAAATCCAGTCTGTGTTTTTTTAGTAAATGGTTTTCATATCTTTTTGCTAGTGTGCCATTCTTCATACACCCTCACAAGCTAATCAGTCTTCTTTATTTCTAGAACTCTAAGTTAATCTTTTCAGTAATGTCATACATGTCTAACAAGTGAACAAGCATCCTTCAGTCACAATCTGTAGATAATGTCTCAAGTCCTTTTATAAGAACATACTTGATTACTGGAGTGAGCGTTACTGAAACATTCGCAAGGTCTCTTAGTCTTAATTGAAACTGGAGCCATTTATCTTAGATTTCATTAAATATCTTTTTTAAATTCTAGATTCACTCTGTGTTTGCACACAATTCTATCAGTAGCTGTAAATGCCCACATATTTTCTTAATCTCTTCTAGTTTCTTTGTTCATCTCTGCAAGAGCATACATTTTATTCCTGGTCAACTTCTTGGAAAGAATTTATGTAATGTTGAGCCTTTATGTTAAAGAGATGGAGGAAAAGATATAATATCTCTTACAATCCAGTCATTTTATTTTGATGTCTAACCAGATAAGGTTAAAAAGGAAGCTAAAAATGAAACTTCCATATTAATACTGATCACATGTACAATTTTACTTGCACTTGCAAAAAAATTCTGTGATTGAATAAAGATGCCTTTAAAAGGAAAAAGCTCACTATTTCAGTTTTATGGAAGCAAATTAAGAAAAAATTAATAGAAAGGTATTGATTTATTCTTATTATTTTTAGTGCAAAAGTATAAACAAAAACATCAAAGACACAGGAAATCTCATTTGAAGAACCTTCAAATCACTTTTGGTAAGAATACATTCATTTGATAAAATGTTTAAAAAAAAAATTGAACAATTATTGACTTTCCATAGTTGATTAAAAGTTTCATGTACAAATGATTCAGGACAGTGAACAATGTCACTAATTTATAGCAAAACTATGCAGCTAATTTTCATATTAGCTGTAATATTTAAAGTAAGCTAGTGAATCAGTGAAAATTATAATGGACACTTCCAGAAATGCTCATAGATGATCGTAGGAGAAAAGCGCCTCATTTCTTTAAGAAGTACAGCTAAGCATAACAAATGAGTTAATTTGAATATAACTTTAACCCTACTTAATTATACCATAGAAATGTTCAGTAGTGCCAGGCATTGTATTCAGTGGTTTAAATGTCTGGCACTACTGAACGTTTAAATATTGTTTTTATTTGATTCTTTAGAAATTATGCAAGGTACAGATGGGAAGGGTCATTTGCCCAAGGTTACAAAGCAATTCATTGTTCTGCTTTTTGCTATGACATGCTCACTCTTACGACACAACTAGAGGCCCGATGCATGAAATTCATGCAAGAGTAGGCCTTCTTTCCCCGGGCTGCCAGCACCAGCTTCTCTCTAGCATCCAGGGCCCTGGGCTGGCTTCCCTCTGGCCCTGGCTTCATCCCGAAGGATGTCCTGAAGGACATCTGGTCTAATTAGCATATTACCCTTTTATTATTATAGATCGTTGTCCTACTAAATAATTTGCCAGTGGTTCTCCAAGTGTGGTCCCCATACTAGTAGCTTTGGCTCCACTTACAAACCTGTTAGAAATACAAATTCTTGGGCCCCACCCAACACCTGAATGAGGTGAGGCCCAGCAATCTATGTTTAAACAAGCCCTTTAAGTGTTTCTGATGCACGTCAAAGCTTGTAAATTTACATTAGCATTTTTATTTTTAAGCAAAGATTTTCGTGTCTCTTTTTGGACATCATATGAATAATATAACATGAACTGGTAAAAAAGAAATGTCATCTTTCTATTGTTGTTTACATTGAAAAAGGCTGTATGTACCAGGAGAAGCCTCTGCATGATGTTGACAGTTTGACACAACCCATTAGTTTAGAATTATCTCCAGAACGCAAATAAATAAAAGTTTAAGAGACCGTGGAATGAAATCTGTGTTTTTCTGTTAAGATCTTTCTGTTATTGTCTGAAGGTTTTTCATAACAATAATGCATTTTTGTTACATTTTTAAACTTTATTGAAACAAATAAATGAATGTTTCATCAATTACAGTTTGTTTGATTTTTGCATGTATGGACACTGGGGAGACCGATAGGATGAGTAAAATCTTTTAATCATTTTTTAAATATAAGGAGATAGTTAAATAAGCTACCTTTTAGCCTTTAAAAACTTTAGAGCAGTTTTATTACAGAATTATTATGAAGGTACAACAGATTACTTGAATAACCTCACAGCCAGTTTACCGTTATTAATATCTCACAATAGCATGGTACATTTGTCATAGTTTAACCAAAATGGATATATTATTATTTACTGAAGTCCATACTTGACTCAGGTTTCCCCCATTTCTCCTTACTGTCCTTTTCTTGTTCCGGGATCCAATCAAAGATACAGTGTTTCCGAACCATCCTCTTAGGTCTTTTTCTTAAGACTTTCCTTGTTTTCGATGACCTTGATAGTTTTGAAGATTACAAATTAGGCATTTTCCACTTCTTACTAAGAACATTTTCATATATACATAAAAGTATAGAAAATATCCATATCTTGCCAACCTTATGTTAGCCTTCTTTGTTTTTTTCCCCCCTTTCCTTTCTGGGATAGTTTAAAGTTAAATTACAATCATTCTATCATTTAATCTGTAAATACTTGTATATATCTCTAATAGATAAGGACTTAAAAAATAACCACACTATGGCCGAAACCGGTTTGGCTCAGTGGATAGAGCATCGGTCTGTGGACTGGAGGGTCCCAGGTTCGATTCTGGTCAGGGGTATGTACATGGGTTGCCAGCACATCCCCGCTGGGGAGTGTGTAGGAGGTGGCTGGTCGATGTTTCTCTCTCATCAATGTTTCTAGCCCTCTATTCCTCTCTGTAAAAAATCAATAAAATATATATTTAAAAAATAAATAACCACACTATGTATTATCATACTTAACAAATTTAATGCTAATTTCTTCATGTCTGTTCAGTTCAATTTCTCTTGAGAAACAGGCCTGCAAGAAATTTACTGGGAGAAAACAGCTGTGAGGAAAATGGGGTAGGAGGGCGGGGAGACCAGAAGACCTCAGTTCAGGTCTGACTGATGGGAAGAAGAGAGGGATGGAGGGTGGCTGAGCAGCAAGTCTTCGTCCACAGAACAGCTCAGAGTGTTTAGCAAGACTGGCGAAGTCCTCCGGCCAGAAATACAAGCTCTCAGGAGCCCCACATCTTGCAGGAACGGGCTTGCCTTTGTGTTCCTGCTCTGCTCCTTTGTTGGCAGGGAACAGCCAGTAGGAAGCAGCTGCAGCTGTC